AACTTAATGAAATGATGGGCACAGTCATTTGCACTATTTAAATTGTTCTCTTGTTTTTCGGAGTGTAAAGGTTTAAAGTTCTGTAGGTTCGATGCATTTTATTATTTTTTTCATAGCATTTTTTATTATGTTCAGTTAGCCAACATATAGTACATCTTTAGTTTTTGATGTAGTGTTCAATGACTCATTAGTTGCATATAACACCCAGTGCTCATCATAACACGTGATCGATGCATTTTAAAGAGTAGATCCAGAATGACTCAAGTTAGTCTGACTCCAAAGCCCAAGCTCTTTCCATAATGGTGTCTAGAAACCACCTCTGAGAGACTGGGAAAGAGATCAGAGTTTCAGGCCCTACGGACACAGGTGGGGGGGCACCAGAATGAGGCCTCAGTTGCAACCTGGATGTGATTTGCAGGCTCTGTCACTGGCTTAACTCTGAATGTCTACACTTTGTCCATGATAAGGCTGCTGTTATTCCTGAGCACGTGGATAGTCATACCCTTTCTACCCACTGCCCCTTCTCTCTAGATCTGCACAGAATAGGAGGAAGGGACACTGAGATCTGAAAATGAGTGGAATATCAACAGATGAGGGTAAGGGTATTGCAGGTAGACTGAACAGCATGAGCAAAGGCATGGTGGTATGAAGCTGCAGGAAATATTCAGGGACTGGTGAGTATTGCAGTGCTATATTACCGGGGAAAAATCACTGAGGTCCTACAAGACCCAGCCAAAGCCTTGATTCCGGAGGTAGTGATGTAGGAAAAGAACTCTGCTCAGCTTAGCAATTGAGCAGTGACTCTCTGGAGGCAATATGCAGAACAGTAAGGGGGGGTGGGGCTTAAGCGAGGAGAAGGTTAAGGTACTATGGCTTTGGAGAAGCAAATGCCTGCCTCTGGCTAATGTCAGGGTGTCTGAGCGTGGAAATGTAGGGCCTTTGCCCATGATCTTTAAAGCAGTTTTGGTACTTATATTTAAGGAACTAGGCAGTCCTCCAGGGCTAATGGAACAAATGGCCACTAAAATGCATGATTCAGACAGCAGTCCTGCTCAAAGAAATCACCTCCAGGGCCTCAGCACCTGAAGTCTCCCATTTGAAATATTTCTTTTCGATCTCAGGGACTTAGTACTGGGTTAATCACAATCCCTGTTTCACGTATGATACTATTGTATTTATTTGCGTAGTTAATCCAATGTAACAAGCATTCGAAAATGTCCCTTCAGTGTGGAAAGTAGGACTTTGACAGTCACTTGACCACATCTGCCTCTGTGGTCTGCCCTGTCCCACCCCTGAGACCCCCACCCAAAATAGCCATCATCATGAATCTTGCGTTCATCATTCCTTTCCTTTCTTTTTTAAATCATTTTATCTCATCTGTAGGTAATCCTTTAAAAGTATATTTTATTAGTGTTGTTCTTAATATTATAAAAAAGACATAATGCACAAATAGTTTTGATATTTTTACTTTCTAATTAATATTATATTGGAAAGACTTGTCCATATTGTTGCTTGTTGGTTTTTATTTAATTTGACTACACCATAACCTATTCATCAGCTCCTGTGTTGATGGGATTTCATTTGTTTGCTACTGTGAACCTCAGTGCTATGAGCATTAATATCTGTATGTTCTGGCATACAGCATGCCAAGCCCTCTTCTAAGCACAGTGCTAGGAGAATTGCTGGGTTTGGGGGTCCATGAAGTTCAATTTTACGAGACAAGATCAAACTGTGTTTCTAAGCGGTTTTACAAATTTCCAGTTCCAGCCATAACTACCCTTCTCACCAAAAACAAATATGAAAGTTGGCCCAGGGGCGCCTGGGTGGCTCAGTTGGTTAAGCATCTGCCTTCAGATCAGCCTTGAGTCCTGGGATCGAGTCCCCTCGTCGGCCTCCTTGCTCAGCGGGGAGCCTGCTTCTCCCTCTCCCACTCCCCCTGCTTGTGTTCTCTCTCTCTCTCTGTGTCAAATAAATAAATAAAATCTTAAAAAAAAAGAAAGTTAGTCCAAAAAAATCACATTATTTGAAAACAAGGCTAATTTTATTTCCTCTTTTCATTTCTTCCCCCTCCAATTTCTTTTCTTACTGTGCTAACCATGTTTAGCTGATCTGGTGAATTATGTTTATGGATTTTCTAATTGGAAAGCTATCCTCATATACCTGGGAAAAAGGTCATTGTGGTATATGATAATTTTAATGAACTATTGGATTTGATTTCCTAAAAATTTCTTTGGAATTTTTACATCCATAACCATAAGTGGCGGAGCTATGTAATTATCCTTTCTTGCAGACCTTGGCTAGTTTTAGCATAAAGGTTGTGGTCTTCATATTGTCTGATAATATTACATTGACACCAACTTCATTTTGTTCTACTTGCCTGATTAATCATTTTCATCCTTTGTTTTCATCTTGGGCATGTATGTTGTATTAGAATGTGTCTAGGAAATACCTGGATTTGGGTTTTTATTTGGCAAGTTAGCTCATCTTCATATATAGTAGTTAGGGATGCCTGGCTCAGTCATTTAAGCATCTGCCTTCCTCTCAAGTCATGATCCCAGGGTCCTGGGATCGCCCTCATCAGGCTCCCTGCTCAGCAGGGAGTCTGCTTCTCCCTCTGCCTGCCACTCCCCCTGCTTCTGCTCTATCTCTCTCTCTCACACACACAAACAAATAAAGTCTTAAAAAAAATAGTGGTTATCCATATATTAGGACTTTCTTCTACTTTATTAGTTTATTCTTTTAATTTGTCCCTTTTTTCTATGCTCTTTATCCCTTTGGTTATTGTTTTAAAGTTGTCTGTGTTCTCTCTGCTATAAGACAAGAACATTAATATGCTCTTAATATTAATAATTAATTAATATGTCCTTTGGCCTCCCCTTACTTCACCGTCCTGAGTTCACCTTAACTTCAAATTCTGATTTTTTGTGGATATGCTTTTGCTTTCTCTTTTCTTTGGTTCTAGTTATTTTTAAGACAATCACAAACTTTACAAAAATACTTACTTTACATATTTCTTCCATTATCCCTTAGATTTTTTTCTACCTATACAAGCGCATCATTAAAACTGTTTTATATGGGGGCGCCTGGGTGGCTCAGTTGTTAAGCGTCTGCCTTGGGCTCAGGTCATGATCCCAGGGTCCTGGGATCGAGCCCCGCATCGGGCTCCCTGCTCGGCGGGAAGCCTGCTTCTCCCTTTCCCACTCCCCCGCTTGTGTTCCTGTTCTCGCTAACTCTCTCTGTCAGATAAGTAAATAAAATCTTAAAAGAAAAAACAAAAACAAACCTGTTTTATATGTGGGTTTTTGTGTGGCAAACATTCTGAGACTCTGTATGTCTTAGATTATTTTTATCATGTCTTCATATTGGAATGAAGGTTTAGCTGGATATGAAACGGTGAACTTTCCAAATTTTGAAGACTTCATTGCTTTCTTGTATTATTCTGTTGTAAGTGATCTGCTTTCTCTCTTTCTTTTGGGAAATTTTTACAATTTTACCTTATCTCTGATATTCTTAAATTTCAACATAATTTCTGTCTAGGAGTACAATTTTCCTTATGTCTCCTCTTTTGCTGTCTGTGCTTCCTTTCAATCTGAGTCTTTTATCTTTCATTAATACAGGGGAGATTATCTCCATTATTCCTTCAATTTTTTCCTCCTCTCCCTTTGTATCTTTTTTTTTTTTTCTTTCTGGGACTACTTTTGCATTTTATACCTTAACTTTTATATTTTCTATTTTTAAAATAATTTTCTGCTGGGAGAATTCCTCATCTGATCTCCCAGTTCACAAATTCATTCTTCAGGCAAATCCATTCTGCTAAGTACCATCTATTGTATTCATTATCTCAACTATTATATTTTCATACTTAACATTTCTACTCGATTCTTTTTGTGGCTTCTTGTTTTCATTATATATTGCGAATATCATTCTTTATTTTTTTTAAATATAAAAAAGTTAAACAAATTCTTAAAAATACAGGCCAATTCCGGATTTGTCAGATCTAATACCTTTGCTTCTTTTGGAATCTGTAACTTGGTTTGTGGCTTTTCTTTGGAAATATGAGCACTCCTCTTTTCACTCTTGAACTTCCATTTCCTGGGGTTATGGGCTACTCTGTCCAGCAGCACTGATGGTGGAAGGGCAGAAGGCCAGACTCCCATCTGTGTTGACATCTATGTGTTCAAAGTGGGGGATGAACCTGGAATGGCAGGTTCTAATCACTCCTCACCCCACCAAACAGCTTCTCAGATGTACTCTTGACTTTAGGAAGAACTGGTTTCTAGAAGAGGAGATTATAATCCATCAGCCCTGGGGGTTTGGAAGGAGCGAGAAGTCACCACCTGAGACCGGTCAATCTGCATGTGTCTTTCTCACCACTCGGGCACAGCCCTGCTCTCACACCTGAGGAGCACTTGCTCAAGAGGCCTGAGCTCCAGCCCTGTCCGTCCCAAGGCAATGGGAGTGGGCACCAGGGCCAGGAGATGAAGACCCTAAGAAGCAACAGCTCCCCTGTGGTTTTATCCTGCTGCAGGAGCCCAGATACCCTCTGCCCTGGGTTGGGACCATTCCAGATACTCTATAAGTGCCAGATAAAAACTGCTTCTGTCTCTCCAGGGGGTTCTCTCAGCTTTCTCTGCAACTTAATGCTTTTCCTCTATAGTTCCCCAGAGTTGATCTCGAGGGAAGGAAGCAGTAGGTCAGGCTAGTCCAGCATCTTCTTTTAAAAAAAATTTTTAAGATTTTATTTATTTATTTGACAGAGAGAGAGAGAGAGAGCATAAGCAGGGGAGCAGCAGAGGGAGAGGGAGAAGCAGGCTCCCCGCTGAGCAGGGAGCCTGACATGGGGCTTGATCCCAGGACCCTGGGATCATGATGACCTGAGCCACAGGCAGATGCTTAACCAACTGAGCCATCCAGGCGCCCAGTCCAGCATCTTCTTAAAAACTCATTGACTTTCTTCTCACAGATGACACACTGTCCTTCCCGTTCTGCCTTCCTTTCAGACCTAGATCTCCTGGAGGCAGCAGCCCGTCAAGCATGGTGTGAGTGGAGCAGAAGAGGGGCAGCGCACAGGGGGAATGGAAGGAGCATGGAGCCCAAGTCAGGGCTGGGCTCGTGTCCTCTTTCCGTCCTTGACTTGCTGTGTAGCCCTAGACAAGTCACTTCGCTTCTCTGAGCTTCAGTGTCCTCTTCTGAAAAGTGAAGTTAACAAGAACACTGACCTCACCGGGGCAAATGAAAAACTGGATGTGAAAGGGCTTTGTAAATGGCAACGTGAGGCGATTTCATTGATCATCTGAAGGCGGGGAATTACCTGAAGGCAGGGAGGGGAGTCCTAGGCTGGGTGAAAATTTGCTTTGCCAATCTCAACATTGTACTAAGTGTTGGCCCTGCGAAAAAAGCCTGATACAACTGGACATTCTCTTATTATAGAAAATGACAAACCTGTGTTTGATCCCAGAGTTGTCACATTCCTCCAGGAGTGCAGACTTTTATGGGCCCCTGGAAGCTCTGCCCGGACTATTTCTGAGGACAGGGACATTGTGCCTTATTGGCAAGGCCTATTAAACCAAGGCCACTTGTGGTCATTGAAGAATCTAGGTCTGCCTTTGCAATGGTGGGAAAGAGTTGTCAGGTCCTGTCCTCTGATGTTTGTGGATTTGGTTACACTGTTCTGCTAAGCTTGGTGCCTTCTGCTTCCTTGTTTGCTGAGGGTCTTTTTCTAGTCTAGTTAGGGGGACTGAGAAGTGGGAGAAGAGAATGGAGCAGGTCTGAATCAAAGACAAGTAGCAGAGGTAGGAATGAGTAAGAATAATATGTTCTCTCTGGGAATTTGTACAAGGGCAAGGCTAATGAGACTTTGTTTTCAATTACTTAAAATGTAGTCTGTCATTGAAAAGATGATGTAATGGCTTTAAGACAGAAAACAAGCCAGAGTCTAACACCACATTCAGCTACTTGTATTTTTGCACATCCTTGCCTATTTCTGTTGTCATCATCATGCATGCATAATGCACATTTCATTTTATGGCCTGATTTTTTTCACTTAACATTAGATAATAAGCATTTTCCTTTTGAAGTCTGCATTTTAGTGAATAGACAATCTAATTTTGGATACTGTATGATAATAAAATTATCCTCCTACTTTGTGATATTCACATTGTCTTCAAATTTTTTGTTGTTTATTTGCTTTTTTTTTTTTTTTTTTTTGCTATACTAGTGAACTGTCATGGGCATCCTTGTGCATTTTGCATATTTTGTTTATTGTTGTTGTTGAATTGTTACCTTTGCATGAATTCTAAAATTCCTATGAGTGGTACGACTGGGGAAATTCACCCAGGCATCTTTATGACTCTTAGCTACTATTTAAAAATAAAAGTTTTAATTTAAAATGCCGCTAGCCAATTTAACCACAACTCTTCTAAGTATTGCCTGTTTGAAGTCTTTTTTTCTACTTTAATATATAAAAACCAGTGCTTCAAATTTGTTTTCATTTGTACTTCTCTGCTTAATGGCAAAGTTTAACGCTTTCCATGTGTTTTTTTGTCTAGGTCATGTTGTTAAAAATAAGCTGCCATAAACTTTCAGAATTTTTTGAAAGCCCCCCCCAAGTCGTCCCCCATAATATTTACTAAGAAACTCAAATTTCCAAATTAATCAGATATAAGTGCTCTTGGCCAAAGCAGAGAGAAGTGTCAAGTTAATTTGTCTTCGGTTTAGCTGGTTGAATGGCTTTCATGTGTAATTCAAGTCCTGTCAAGAATGTTTTAAAGGGTATTGAAAATAAAACATAGATATCACCTCCCAAAAGTTTACATTCCAGAAGAGCTATCATCATATGACTGATTGAAAAATTGCTAAACGTTGTAAGATAAGGATAGAACAAGAGCTGTGAGGATTCAGAGAATAGAGAGATTATTTCTAACTTGTGCTTTGGAATGTGAGGAGTCAGAGAAGGTTTCTGGGAGGAAATTGCATCTGAGCTACATGAAGAGGTTCTGAAGTAGGAGCCTATTTCAGGGCAGTGAGGGAAGTACGTCGGTGAGAACACTTGGCCCATTTTATGTGATGGAGCACCTGAGATTTTAAAGAAGTCTTCTAACACATAGCTACCCTTCTCCCAATGGAGTCAGGCAGGGATGACCCAACAGTATTAAAATTATATTGTGTATTTTGAAAGGCCTAAAATTTACAATAAAGCTCAGTGTTTCTCAACCCCTTCCATGACAGGGCACCCAAAGAAACTAATGGGCTTTCTTTGTTATACTGGGGTCAACAGACAAAGCTGCTTCCTACTGGAGGAGTCTGGTCCAGAACCCCAGCTGCTCCTGGTCAGAAGGCTGAAAGGACCAATTTCTGGGCACTCTTGTAGCCCATTGGGCAAACACCCTGTGAGAAGTTTTACAGATAGATAAAGATGATATATAAAAATAATTACCAGATTTATTCTGCATGATAAACAATCAATGAATTGGGCATTGGGACTGGTAAAGAAAAAATAGTCATAAAAATTATGATGGTTTTGACTGGCCCTACCTTGACCAAGCTATCTACCATGGGACAGAGAAATTTCCAGTATTATTCAGAAAATGACATAATAGAACCCTGGAATTGTAGTCATAGCAGTCCAAGCTTGGAAAGCATCCAGGGACAGGAAAATTACCTGTGGAATATGTTACGGGACTGGCTGAGGAGAATAATATTTTGCATTTATCTAGTAATCTCATTTCATTGAGTTCAAAACATGGGATCAAATCATGTTCACATGCCAAACAGGTAAAAAGATATCAAATAGATTTTTGAGGATCTCCTTTAACAAATGGAGCAAGTCATTTTAACTATTTGTTTGCTTAAACCCTGTCTCGTTCTAGAAATTATTTCAACTAGACAGGCTACATTAGGATTCAATAGTTTAAAGGTCGGGAGGTTAGAAAACAATTTAATGAAGGTCTTTGCATAAGAGGAAAAAAAAACAGATTTGCATGGATATGAAAAAAAAATTACACAATTGGGTGCAGTGCTCTTGTGGAAAAATTCCTGAAAATCTTCAGTGCACCACCATACTTATTATTATATTAAAAATTCTAGCAGCTGTGCTTTTCTTCTAAATTAAGAAAATAAAGCAATATCATGAGCTAATGCCACATCAAAGTGGCATGTTTCAACACTTCAACATCATGTGTTGCCAGAGTTGAGTGTTCCAGGAGGCCTGGCTCACCCCACTCTTCCTGGAGGCAGATGCTGGAATGGTCACTCCAGGCCTGGGAAGTCAGCATTTCTTCATTCTCCTTCCAGATTGTGGTAAGGACTTGGACACGCTTTATCCCACCTCAGTTTCTCTGGTGAGGCCCTGGGCCATGTAAGGAGGTTGTGGTTAAATGGAAATATTTGAAGAGTTGCCACATGGAAGAGGGATTTAGGTCTATTCTGCGTCCTCCCAGAGGATAGAATTAGGACCAAGAAGATGGTAATTGCTACAGAGAGATGGATTTAGACTCTACACAAAGATGAGCGAGAGGGAAAATTAAGTCCCCTTAACACGACCTTTTACTTGGATAAACAGCTCATTTGTGCTATTTCATTTCATTCCTTTAGCAACCCATGAGGTCATACCACTACCGAGGGCACCAGGACTAAGACCAGAGTCAACTTAAACCTGATGGGTTGTATGAAATTAGCTCATGGAATTAACCACTGAATTACACCCCCTTAAAGAAAATGGAGTAGAAAAAAAAAACCAAACAAACCCTAAAGTTAGACATTATGCAACAAGCAACAAGCTACGATGGGATTTTTGAATGGTCAAGATGAGCCTAACGGGTCAAGGCAAAGATTGAGGATGGGCGGGGGAGGTGGGAACACCTGACAAAGCAGTACATCTACAACTATGATACATATGGAAGGATAATCCTCCGGGGGAAAACCCAACCATTTTGTAGGAGACAGATACCAAGGAACCAGCTGGTGAGCTGACCACCGGCAGCACTGAGGCTTGTTTTAAACAAGGAAGCTGTCAGCTTTTCTTTGAAGAATTTTCTAATAAATAAAAATGTCCCAGACGCAACTGGCCGCCTTAGCAGACAGTGAGACCCTTGCTTCTGGGGATGTTCAGTCAGAGCCTGGATGTGTGGATGTCAAGATGGAAAAAGATCGAGATGTAAAGACCCTAAGGTCTCTTCCAGCCCCAAGAGTCTATAATTTCCTCTGTGCAGGGTGTCTGAGCTAAAATATTAACAAACAAAAGGGAAAGGGACTATGTTGGAAGGAATTAGAGGAGATCAAGGTCTATAACATCCTCAGGTTTCTACGAAGTTCTCTACACGTAGGGTCAGGACCGAGGCATGGCCTGCTCCAAAGAATCTCCATGTAGGGGCGCCTGGGTGGCTCAGTCGGTTAAGCGGCTGCCTTTGGCTCAGGTCATGATCCCAGGGTCCTGGGATCGAGCCCCACATCGGGCTCCCTGCTCGGCAGGAAGCCTGCTTCTCCTTCTCCCACTCCCCCTGCTTGTGTTCCTTCTCTCGCTGTGTCTCTCTCTGTCAAATAAATAAATAAAATCTTTAAAAAAAAAAAAAAGAATCTCCATGTAAAAATGAGCAATGTCAGTCATGTGACCCATGTTTTGAAGAAAGAGTCCCAGGCAGGAGGAGCAGGGACCTTCCTGCTCCACCCTGTTACGGGAGAGAAGCTCTTCCTTCCATGGCACTGTGGAAGAATGGGCAGTTACGACTTAAAACCAATGAGGTCCAGAGAAAGGAAGTAATTTTCCTGGGCTCTGTTGACAAAACAAAGTCCGGTTTTGCACAGACACCCAGGTCTCCTGACTGCTGAGCTGAGGGAGGTTCTTTCCACTGAGCAGCCCTGCCTGCCAATCTCATCATTGGCCAGGATGTCGTCTTGCCCCAGGCTGTGGGCCCTGGTATCTCACACCTCGCCCTCATTTTTAACCCTTGCACGTCCAATGGTAGGTCCTCCATCAATCCTTGGGCCCCCAATTTACTTCTGTAATCCTGATATTTTGCACTACCCCCATTTACCCAACTAAGGTACTTGGCTGGCCTAAAAATACCAGTTAGAAATGGAGAGCATCTCAGAGATCATCTAATTTAAACCTGACGTTTTACAGATGAGCATAACAGGAAGCTTCAGAGAGCAGTAAGTTGGCATCTCAGTCACTGAGCAGCATTGTGCCAAGTGCCTATTACATGCCGTGCCATTGGGGTGGCAGACAGGTGCCGGGGTGACCACAGACCATGAAGACCCCAACTCTGCTCCCCAGGAGGCCGCAACGCACGGACTGGGAAGACTGGGAAGGGTGTGGTGGCTGAGCTCGAGGAGCAGGAACCGGGACTGATTCCTGGGTTCTGGCAGTTTATAATACTGATTCACAGGCAGACGATGAATCTTTTTTGGGCTTTAGAGTCTCCAATGATGTCACAAAGGGGGTAATGTTTTCCACATTTCTCCTGTTGGGGCTGGTGTGACGATACATTTGGAAAACTTTAAAGAGGGAACCCCAGAGGAGCTGGAGGCATTTCGGGATGTTTGGCACAACCCCGCAGAGTGTTCTGCCCATAAATTTACCTTGTGGATTCAGAGGAGAGGGCCTGGTGAGAAACTGGGGGTGGTGGTGGTGGTGTGGTGGGTGGGGTTGGGGGGCATCCACATTACTCGATGTTGTAGTAATCAAAACAGATTTGGCTTGGCGCAGGCCATATCAAAGGCCTGAGCGAGTCACTTCCTCTGGGGAAACTCCCTTTCCCGGGACTTGCTCCTGGAGCATAGGTACCTCAGTTGGGCTGCTCTGGGTCCAGTGGCCAGCTCCCTCCAGGCACTTAACCATGCTGTTTGTGTTGTGTGTTGTGTTTCCCTCCCGCCAGGAGCATCTTAGGGGAAGGACAGCCCGTGGGGGGTTGCCTCTGTTTTCTCAGGTTACAGAACTGTGCACTCATCCCTCTTTTGCAAAGGATTCTGAGCCTGTTGCTGGGGCGGTTGCAGTTTCTCTGCAACAGCACCGATGGTCTCCTGCCCTGGGGGCTGGAGGAGATATTTAACTGGGAGTCAGAATGCCTATGTCTGAGCACTGGCTCTGTGCTGGGAGAAGCAGGTGAGGCAAATACACCTGTCCTTGAGGGCGTCCATG